TGTTGAGTATAGCTTCGCTTAACTTTTGGATTGATGCAAACATACTCTTCATTAGCTTTGACATAATAAAATTTAGCTTACAGATGTGTTAAAGAGGATGCTGTGGGTTGTACCATGATTTCTTCTTTAGCATTGAAGTTCGTTCATGCGAGACTTGTGATTATTCTTAAGCAAAATTTAGCTATAGGCTTCTTTGAGCATTTGGTTCTTTGAGTTTTATACTCGTAGTTTCATTTGTTAAAAGTTGGTGGGAAGGCATTTTAGCTTATAGTTTCCATGTTGAAGTTAGTATTTGTATCTAGCAATCATTGGCGATGATTGACTATCATCTAGGATAGTTGATTATCCTTGTCAAAAAAAATTTGCTAAGGAATACTAAGGAACCAAAGTTGTCTAAGCAAGTGCTAGCAACATCCTATTGATGTTTTAAACCTAAAAGATCAATCCAAAGCAAACCACAAAGAACATGTGGTATTGCAAAAAACCATAAACCATCAAAAAGAACAACTAACTTTCATGAAAGATCATCAATCATCCCATCAACGAAGAGATGCATAATCATTGTCAAAGAAGGAATTCACCATCTTGAAAATAGCAAATCATTTTATATTAACAACAATCAAACTGGGATCTATTCAAATTGGCTAAGTGTAATAGTTGACATGAATGAATGTTTGTTGGTCTTACCACATTCATTCTATTCTGTTGATTGTTGCTCGAGTTAGTTTTAATAGATTTGGATGTTATTTCCTTCAAGTGATACATTCATGAGCATTCTGCTTGCTAGTCAATGATACTTTGTGTTCTTTGAGTTATCTTTGGTAAGTTGTTTGGCATTCTATTTGCAATCTTCAGTAGTTAGGTTTCATCATTAAGTTTCCTTGATGATATATTGGCTATTGCATTTTGTTGGATGGTGCATCCTATGTTTTCCAAACATGATAATCTTGGTGGTTCTTATACTATAATAATAGTTTATCAGATGATAACTTACTTAGAATACTTTTGTGTTCTAATCTAAGCATTATTCACTGATAATTAAGACTCTAAGATATCATTGTTTGATGACTTTGATATTGTCCATTTGTTAATCTTTGAGTTTGGGTCAGTATAGGCAGATTGGCTTTGGCACTTCGTGTGCATGGTGAAATCTCTAGTTATGGGGTAACTACTGTCGACTGGTCACATAACCCACCTCTCTATCGATGTTCTTTATTTCGTTAAAAAGGCGTGGCAAATTGGAAAGGAAAAATTTATAGCTTACAATATTGAAATTGCAGGCCAAGTCATCAATAGCAAGCCTATATAAAATGGTTTAGCACTTCACCACTACCCATCCCATGATTCACCCACTTGTAAAACCATCATAACTAATATATATCAAGATAGGACTCTTGATTGCATGATGTGAACATAAACAATGAGTTAACACCTTGTTGCAGATCATCTCTCCAAGAAGAGAAAATGATTTACGTGTTTGATCCTTCGTCTCTGAGGACTCTCTTTTCGGTTTTATCTGGACTAAACCTTGAACTTGCATTTGCACTACCTTCAGTCTATTCCAAGAAAAGTTTATAAGAGAGCACAGCAATGATTATTTGAACCAATAAACTAATTTCTATAGTGTTGATTAATCCATAAATAATCATGCTTAAAAAGGATCCACTAGTATTGTGCTAAACAACTACGGACTAGCCTATTTGCCACCCATAACAAACCCTTAGGAGGTTTACTTTTACCCATGGTACATGGTTCAACTTATGGTAACTATCGATAAGTTAATATTAATTTTGCCAACTCAAACTATAACCTTGAATGTGCTTCACTCATGAGCCTAAGTGCAAACTCGTGCAAACGGAACATCTCAATCCATCTTATGAGCCCAAGTGCAAACTCATACAATATGGTACAAAAAGGTAACCAAAATCCATACCCAAAGAATGAATGTGAAGTTTTAGCACCTAAATATGTACCCACTTGGATCATTATTTTCATCTTTACATATGCAATGAGAATAATTACCCAATTTTATTGGATAATACTCATTAAGATTCATCCTCTGATGCTAAATATAGCATATGTGATTTTCACTTTTTATTCTATAGTGATTTACCATAGAATAACCATTTAAACCCTTTATATGCCTCATGTCACATGCCATATGCCACATACCACATATCCAAGGACAGTGGAGTGAAATATGAGTTTCAAGGCCTTAAGCCATTAAATAAAAGAATAGAGCCAAACTCCTAAGCATGGAGTTAAGAAGCAAAAGAACTGAAGCATAGAGTGACTCTTGAATATATAACTTAAGGAGTGAAGGGACAGAAGTATAAAGTGACTTAGAACAATCTTAGAGCATTTAGCATCTTAATGCTAGGACTAGCACACAAAATCCTGAGATCTTGAGATGAATGTATGAATTCATATCACCTATATCCATAAATGCATTTATATACTCTTAAATAGCTTTTATCTAACCTAGCTTATTTAGCTCATTCCTTAGTAGTATTTAGGGGAATATAAATTGCTATGGGCATTGGTCCTTTGTTGGATTTTATTGTTCTCCATTAAGAATTAACATTATCTGTTAAATATGATTTTGCACATATAACTTTTTCCAAGTTTGGCAATTGTAACACTCAGAAATAACACTCTATATCATCCACCACCATATAGTTATAAACTCCTTTAAGGATTTGTGGAGGTTTTGGTTTGTATATAGGAATTACTTATAGAATAAATTCCACCTCAATTTGTTCAACTTTTTATGATTCTACTTTAGTATTAGCCAAAGGTTCCTCATCCTATGTACTAAAAACCTTTGTAAACTATTGTCTTTTCTAATCACACTTTAACTTGCATATAAGAGTCTCTAGTAGAGTATTGGTATATATTACTTATTCTTCTAAAGTGTCCAATCAAGCCTTGGATAACAAAACTTCACCCAAAATCATGTTTAGATGTCTCCTTACTAATTCTCCTTTTATATGGATTCTTCATCCACTGCTTTTTATTTGACTTAAGGCTCCACTTTTATAAATTTATTTTTGTTCACTTATGCTTTGCCTTAGCCATCTCTCAATGATTTATCTCTATCTTTTGCTAGAACTAAGAAAAAAACTTTAAACTATGATTTTCCTCTTGTAATTTATTAATTTACTTTGTCTATCCAACCACTTTTGCTTTTTTTATAATTAAATTCTTTTGCCAAGGTATTTTTATTATACCAGCTCCTACTTAGTCTTATTTGGCTTCAACTACTCATTGCATAAACTTAGCCATCTCTCCAAAAATTCCTAAATTCACTCTTCCAATCCAGAATAAATTGGATTTATAGTTTGGCTACACGTTTTGTAGCACGCTAAGCCTTTAATGCATTTCATAGTTTAGGACTTAAAAAAGAAACATTATGGCTTAATGGCTCAATATAAATATTTTAACTCTCTACCTACCTTGAAAAGAAGGCTAAAACCCTTTAAAAAGGAGTGAGGACCAATGAACTTCATAATACCCAAGTAGGGCACCACTCCACTTGAATGAAGAGCACTCTAAACAGTTTTCCTTTTTTGAGTGGGAACTACTTTTAAACATTTCTTTGAAAGGCTTTGTTAACACCCTTCAAATTCATGTTCATTCTCACCCAAGGCTACTCCCTAACCCCAATATAGTTTAAAAGCACCTTTTGAGTTTTTTCAAAACTAAATCCTTAACCTTACTATCTTTATTACACTTTTGAAACCCCTTACTCTCATTCGATTGCACAAGAAAGTTTATAAGAAAAAGAAAGAAAGCAAGAAACTCAAAGATGAGTGTAAAATAATTTCTTCTAGCCTTTCTTGTTGATTCTATCAACTGAATTTTGCACCATTTCAGCTTATTCAATTTGGTGCTGAGATCTTTGAAACATCTGATTTGCATAGTTGAATTGGCTGCAATTAAGACACCCTTGGATCATCACATTCAATCATGGTCAAGAAGATGGGATTCCCACTGTGGCCTTTTTTTTAAACAACCATCCAATAGAAGAACAGCAGTCCTTGGGTAAGTGTTGCAAGCATGATATTGAGTAAATGTTGACTGTTGGAATGCTAACTGCTACCTTGCACATCCTGAGCCACACATACATTTGGATGACAGGAATCGCAAGAGATGTGCTCCAGCTCGAGCTGCTCCTATTGATCTGGGTGCCTCAGCAAGGGGAGTTTATGCTCCTCAATCATTCATGGAATGGAACTGTAGTAAAGCTTAAAAATATTCTTCCTGGATTCAGCTTGATTGGTGTGCCGGTATGGAGCATGTCAAACTTGTAATGCTGGTAGTGTTTAAGTACAACACATAACAAATATGGATTCAGCTTCATTGGTGCGCCTGTATGGAGCATGTCAAACTTGTAATGCTGGTAGTTTCCAAGTACAACACATAACAAGTTTCAGTTAGTGAAGACTGACTACCAAGTCAAGGTGGTCTTGCCAAAAAGCTAGGCAAATTGCAGCAGTTAAATTATAATATGGTGAGACGCTGCATTACGTTTCTCACCAGAACTAGTTGGACAATTCCAACCAAATTCTCACAGCCATGCAGTGCATAGCAAATATCGCAATCAACACTCTGTGCCAGCAGCCGCAGTAATACAGAGGATGCAAGCGTTATCTGGAATCATCGGGCGTAGGTGGCTCCAAGTCCATGCATACAACACTTTTTTCAAGTTCTAGCTAGTCAATTAAACTTTGACTTCTGTTTTACTTGACTCCCAGTGAAGATCATCGCTTTAATGGCTGTGCAGCGATGGTCTCCGCTCACAAAACAGAAAGTATACTCACTGCTTCAAATCAAAAGAAGTTTATCAATCAAGTTCAAAGCTCATTGTGGAGCTTGAAGTTGTCATTCAGCATTTGGGGGGTTACAGCGAATAAAAAGCAAACACTAACAACGCTGCAAACACTTGCACAGCAAATTATTGTCAATTCTTTTATTTGAAACATGTCCGAAGCCTAGCTTCAGTTCTCCACAGCGTTGGGATTTCCAGAGTCCCTGCAATTCGCACAATAATTCAGTGTGGCCTCGCAATTGCCCCCGTCGAATGCATGGCTTCCGCAGAGTCGGCAAGGCTGGTTGTCATACACATGGAGAAACTGCTGCTTGAGAACTGCCCCACTCACGGATGGATAGTTGCCATCGCACCTGAAAATTGCGGTGCAATGGCCAGAAACACGAGAAGTGAAGCCATTGTAGATTGTTCCATCGGTGTAGCGAGAGATTGCTCGCCGGCAATCGGCCTGGTTGACGCGAGATCCACAGAGTCCAGAGCCATTGCAGTTGTCGTTCTTGGCGCAGCTGGAGGAGCCAAGAAAGATCACAAGAAGAATAGCAAGAAGAGAAAAGAGCTTGAGAGAAGACTCCATTCGAATATGTTGTAATGACGAGCTGAAGTATGAAGAATGATTTTGCCAATGGAATGGTTTGGTTTATATAGGGGTATTTTGAAGACCGCGTCATACAGTGTTTACATGATCTCTTGATTTTTAAAATATTTTCTAATGCAAGAACTTATTTACAATTAGAACATGCTATTTGACTAGACTCGCTAGGCTAGAGATCGTCACAGCTAGCTCATGCGATTGTCCACCACGTCGTTCCTGTGCTCCTGTATCAGGTACTTCGATTTTCTTACTTCCACACTGTTCACTGTCCGTGAATTTTCAAAGTATACAATAAGCTGTCTATAGGCTCTTGAATTCCACCGATTTAAGGCTGAGCCATCCTTTGCAGTTAACAAGTTACGGGATTCATCTACAGATGATAGTTTTGTTGTTTTCCTCGGCTGGCTCTTCCCCGGGTGCCAAAACGTGACCGCAGTATGGAGTGCTCGAAGAAAAACCCAAAAGTAATTTAAGTACTTCACATCTCTTGGAACTTACAATCCCTCTAAAATCTTGTTAAATCAGGACAAGGCAAGCTTCATCGATCGCTCGCATAAACAGTTCGATAAGAAAAAGAAAGAAACTAAGAAACTAAAATAAGATTGTTTCTTCTAGCCTTTCTCGTTGTAATCTGTCAGCTGAATTCGTGCCATGCGCCACCAGGTGGAGTTTTGGTAACAAGGAGACTGAGACGAGCTATACGTGCTTCATTTCAGGCTGGAAGAACGCTCGAACTTGTCCTGGGTGAATACGTCAATTTTCTAGTGTTTAGTAGAGCGTTTAGGGAGGATGCCGGGTGTTTTCACCGTACGTCCAATGCGGTAAGATACTGGAAGAGTTGGTGGATAGACAACATTAGTATGGTCATGTTAATATTGTTCTTGAATATATTCAAATTGATAAAATCCAAGATCCTGATGAATGAATAATCCAACTTCTCATGGCTTAAATCGTTTGATGATGACAAGTATCATAGTATCATCAAAAGCTTCATGGGTTTGACAGTGATATAAAAGATTGATAGGTCTATACAACATCACTAATCAGTGTTCATACTTGCTTAGTGGAAACAGCTTAACCTTAGCTGATCATTCTTATAGGTTGACAGTGCAAAAGATCTCATACTACAGAATCCGAGGGGAATAATTAAATGGAACTCGGGAACATCCTACTAATTTAAAATGGCAATTAATATGCTCATAATTATGTAATGTTCATAATGGAGTTTGGTTATTTTAATAATGAGTTATAGCAGAAAACATTGTATTTTTTTAAAACATGACGAAAGTCTCAGTAGCTTCAGTTCTCCCCTGTGTTCGGACTTCCAGAGTCCCTGCAGCTGGAGCAGTCGTTCAGTGTGGCCTCGCAATTGCCCCCATCGAATGCGTGGCTTCCATAGAGTCGGCGAACTTTAGTTTTCCTTTTCTTGTTTACTATTTATAAGTTCTCTCACATATTCTCTTCTTTATATGTTCTCTTTTTACTGCCACATCTACAGATCTTTTTAGATATTTTCCTCCATGTTGGTAAGACATTGATACAAGTTATTTCAAATACTCTCCTCTTACTAAAGACTTACTGCTGTCACATTTGAAAGAGATCAATACTGTGTTAGTAAACTGGGCTTAACATCCAGCTTTTGGAATATTAAAAGATTAAAAGAGACCACAAAAACAAAATGGCCATGGAGAACCTTACACTCCATTGATCCAAAAAACAGCAAAAGAATGGATTGAGCGAGCAAAAGTTAGTAAATTGAAACATAGAGAGAACGAGAGAGACGGAAAAAACACAAAGAAAACGTAACTGTGGAGCCGTGAAGATGCTTGCCATCTCCAACCATCGTGTTAAAACGAGAACGCCAAAAGGGAGCCTCTCTCAATCCCAGGCGCTCGAACCACCACCATAGCCACCGCCACCGTAGCCACCACCATAGCCGCTGCCACCAAAGCCATCACCACCACCTCTCGGCCCCCTTTTCCTGTAGTCTCTTCCTCCAAACCTCGACCCCGATCGGCTGCCTCCTCTACTTCCAAATCCCGACCTCGCAATGCCTTCCAGCCAGCTCGGGACTTCCTGGCTCGATTCTTGCATCAGCTCCGCCAGTGGCTTTGCGAGGCCCGAATCCTTGTCCGTGAAGAAGGCGGTGGCGAGGCCGGAGTTTCCTGCTCGCCCCGTGCGGCCAATCCTGTGGACGTAGTCGTCGATATCGCTCGGGAGATCGTAGTTGATAACGTGAGCGACGTGGGGGATGTCGAGGCCGCGAGCGGCAACGTCGGTGGCGACGAGGATCGGCGTCATACCGGTTCTAAAGCATCTGAGAGCTTGCTCCCTCTCCTGGTAATGAAACAAGCCTTGTAAGATGGATCGGAAAACGAGGAGATGGTATTTACCGGTTGTGTCCGATCCCCGTGAATGGTTGTCGCAGGGAACCCGGATCTAATCAGCCAGTCCTCCAGTGCATCCGCTCCTCGTTTCGTCTCCACGAAAACTAGCATCAGTGGTGGCTGCAGTAAAGAAAAACTCACGGGTAAGAAAATGCAAGGAGAAACAAAAGCTTGTGTACCTGTCCGTTCGCTCCAATCGCCTTTTGACCATGGATAATGTCCATGAGCAAGCTACGCTTCTCTGCCTCTTGAACGCGCTCCACGCGTTGTACTATAAGATCCGTGCTCGAGCCTACTCTGCCGACTGCTAGGAAGATATAATTGTGTAGAAAGTCCGCTGCAAGGCTCTGCAGAAGAGGAGAACGATATGCGGTTTTTAATCAGCTGAAAAACATTCCAGACTTACCTGAATCGTGCGAGGAAATGTCGCACTAAAGAGCATCGTCTGCCTTTGTCCTGGCGGAGGCATGTCTGAGGTCTCCACAATCTTGCGAATTTGAGGCTCGAAACCCATGTCCAGCATGCGGTCCGCTTCGTCCAGTGCCAGATACTTGATCATTGACAACGCCACCCTTCCCCTTTCCATGAGATCATGCAAGCGACCAGGCGTGGCCACCAAAATATCCACGCCTCGTTCCAACTCACGCATCTAAAGCAAGAAAAAAGGAGGTTCAGTCGTACGAGAGACAAGAAAAAAAGCACCGCCAGACCTGTAGAGAAATCTGTGCGCCACCATACGCGACCACAACTTTAAGACCAGTCCTATAGGCAAACTTCTTCGCTTCGTCGTGAATCTGGAAAGAAACATTTACAAAACAAAGAAAAAAACAAAGAACAAAGAAGAACTCACCTGAGCTGAGAGCTCGCGAGTGGGCGACAAGATGAGCGCCAGCGGACAAGCCCAGCGTCCCCTGGGACGTTGTCTCGGCGGATCCCTGAGAATCCCGGCGATGATCGGGAAGCAAAACGCCAGCGTCTTCCCAGAGCCAGTCTGAGCACAAGCCATCAAGTCCCTCCCGGCAAGAGCGATGGGGATGGCGTGTCTCTGGACCGGAGTGGGCTTGACGAACTTACACCGCTTGATGTTCTCGTCCAGCGCAGTTCCAAAGTCGATCTCTGCGAAAGTGCCGACAGCAGCTGGGATGTCACTGCCGCTCGCCTCCACTGGTATGTCCTCGTACGCATCGAAGTTGATAGCAGTGCTCTCTTGCTCGAAGAGTGCCTCGGACGAATTCTCCTCGCTGCTCGCAAAAGGGTCGGCCTCCCTGCTGTCCCTCCGCCCATCGCTCCACGGCTGGGAGCTCCTCCCGTTGCTACTGCTCCATCCATTCCCCGAGCTCGCGCTTCCAAATCTTGGAGGAGGATTGGAGGAGGCGAGAGGCTTGGACCAAGCGCCGGCGCCTGGGCGCTGCTGCTGTGAAGCTTGCGGCACTGGCGCTGGCGATGGCGATGGCGATGGCGCATTCGCCGGCCTGTTCCTCAAATGCGGTGGAACGTACGTACTTCTCGCCGGTGGAGGCGGCTGTGAATCCGCCGCTCGCTCTGCCTCCACGGAATCCGCCCATGCCGTTGTCATCTCCTCCCTTGTTCTTCTTCTCCTTCTTCTCTCCTTTCTCTCGGCCGCTCTAAAGAAACCCTAAACCCTGTGTTGTGCTCGCATTCCTATTCCAATGCGAATCCACCGCGCTGCGAGTGATTCTCCTCCCTTCTCTCGATCAAGACCGGAATTCGCAATCTTTCTTTTTCCCACGTCTCTCGTCCCAGCGACCCGGAATCAACCAGCGCCCGCCGCGCGCCTTACCTGGCGAGTGTCTCTGCCCTAGAATCGAGCTCGTTGGAGCTCCGCCTCCACCATAGCCTCCCTCCTCTTCCCTTCTCTAGAACAAGGAATGAATGAGAGAGAGCTCTCGCCACAGCCGTTGGATCGCGGATCCGACGTACGCTAACTGGCCGCGTCGCAAAACCGGCGCACTATTAGGGCTTGCTTCTCTCTCTTTCACTTCGCCGTGTCGCGAGGGTTTGCATCGTAGCGAGGTAAGTGAATTCCGGGGCGGCGCCGGCTAGATCACGCGCACTGCTCGCGAGATCTCTCGCAAGAGCATCGATTCGCGATCGTCGGGAGGCAGCAAGATTTAGGGATGAGCGAGCTCTCAGGTAGATTCGCTTGAGCTCGGGAAGAAAAGAGTGAAAGAACAGCAAAGAAAAAGGATAATGCCGTCGGTCTGGGCGGATTCGGTCGAGGCGGAGGCCGCGGCAAATCCTCCTCCGCCTCCTCCGATCGTAGCAAATTCCGGTGGATCGTCCGGAGCTCCAGGGCGGCCCAATCGATCCACCTATGTTCCTCCACACTTGAGGAACCGGGGAGGACAAGGTGGTGGCGGTGGTGGTGGTGGTGGCACCACCGTGACTCCAGAGCCAGCGCCACCGATGAAACAGCAGCAGCAGCAGCATCAGCATCAGCATCACAACGCTGCTATGCCGCAGTCACCACACTTTCATGGAGCTTCTCCGCGATTTGGATCAAACGCTCAGCACCAGCAGTACCAGCATCACCCCCACCAATACCAGCAGTATGCCGGACCACCCCACCACGGCTATGGCTACCACCAGCAGCAGTACCACAGCAATCCTGGAACTCCTCGGTCGGGTGGCAGTAACTGGGCTCCTCCATCGCCATCCTTTGCAAAAGGATGGGAGAATCCCGGGTACGCCAATGGACGGAGCTGGGGTGGTGGTGGAGGTGGTCGAAGGGATAGAGAAGTGAATCCTTTTGCCGAGGAAGAGGCTAGCGAGGTCATCTTCAACAACGAGAACACTGGCATCAACTTCGACGCTTACGACGACATCCCGGTGGAGGCCAGCGGCGAGAACATACCTCCTGCGATCACCAGCTTTGCGGACGTGGACCTGGGGCCGGTGCTCAACGAGAACATCAGGAGGTGTAAGTTCGTCAAGCCGACGCCGGTGCAAAAGCATGCCATTCCAATATCTTTGCATGGGAGGGATTTGATGGCTTGCGCACAGACAGGATCGGGAAAGACCGCGGCTTTTTGCTTCCCGATCATTGCCGGGATTCTCTGGAACTTCCCGCCGGGATCTCGACATGCTCGTGGAAGCAGGAAGGCGTTTCCGCTGGCTTTGATACTGTCACCCACACGTGAGCTATCTAGTCAGGTGAGCATTTTCTTTGTTTCTGGTGTTCAGGTCGTTGAAAGCTTGGGTTTTTCAGATTCACGATGAAGCGAAGAAGTTTGCGTACCAAACAGGAGTGAAAGTGGTTGTCATTTACGGGGGTACTTCGGTCCAGTCACAGGTAAGTTGCAGAGCCTTTTTTTTTTTTTGCGATTCTTACCAGTATTTTTCAGTTGAAAGAGCTAGAAAGGGGGGTGGATATCCTGGTGGCAACTCCAGGTCGCCTGGACGACCTCATGCAACGGGGCAGGATTTCTCTGTCCTTGGTCAGGTATCTGGCATTGGACGAGGCAGACCGGATGCTTGATATGGGTTTTGAGCCACAAATCCGGAAGATTGTGGAGAACACCGACATGCCACCGGCCGGCCAACGTCAAACGATGCTTTTCAGTGCTACATTCCCACGCGAGATCCAGGTGCGCTTTCTTTTCTGTCCTCTTGGCAGTCCTTTAGTGACGAGTGCTTGTTTTTGACTCTCCTTCTTTTATTGCATTTTGCAGAGACTCGCGGCTGACTTTCTCTACAATTACATTTTTCTTGCTGTGGGAAGGGTAGGCTCCAGCACTGACCTGATCGTCCAGAGGGTCGAGTACGTCCACGACGTGGATAAGCGGAGCATGTTAATGGACATGATACACGCTCAGAAACCAAACGGATTGAATGGACAGGTAAATTCTATACAAGAATGTTTCCAGTGACTGATATCACGGGTTTTCTTTTGACAGCTTCCGTTGATACTAGTGTTTGTCGAAACAAAGCGAGGTGCTGATTCTTTGGAGGACTGGTTGATCCAGATGGGAATCTCCGCCACCACCATTCATGGAGATCGGACTCAAGTGGTAAGTGACTGGTTTTCTTTGTAGCTAGAGTGACCTTTTGGGAACCACAGGAACGTGAGCACGCGTTGCGGTCGTTTCGAACCGGGGTGACTCCGATTCTAGTCGCCACCGACGTTGCGGCTCGCGGCCTCGACATCCCTCACGTCGCCCACGTCATAAACTACGATCTCCCGAGCGACATCGACGACTACGTCCACCGCATTGGCCGGACAGGAAGAGCAGGCAAGAGTGGCTTTGCGACCGCGTTCTTCACCGACAAGGATACGTCACTGGCGAGGCCGCTGGTGGATCTAATGCAAGAGGCCAACCAGCAAGTCCCCGAGTGGCTGGCAAGCTGCGCTGCACACTCGAACTTTGGCAGGAGTCATCGGTCGGGGTCGAGGTTTGGCGGCAGGGACTATCGAAAGAAAGGTGGAAGAGGTGGTGGTCATGGTTACGGGCATGGTCACGGCCACGGGTATGGGGGTCACGGTGGACACGGTCATGGTTACGGTGGTGGACATCACGGGGCTTCTAGTGCCTGGGACGAGAGCTGAGAGACAGGAGAAGAAGGATTAGATTTTTGGTGCGCGCGGGACGGTAGCGTCAGTGGAGTGGAAGGTAGTGAAGCAGAACTAATATACGTTTTGATCTCGGCAGCCAAAAGGTTTGATTGATAGGAGAAGAGGACGGCAAAATAATCTGGCAAAGTTGTGTGTAGACTGGAAATGAAAGAGCTCTTTTTCCTTCGATGTCCTCTATTTTTTTTCTCGCGATGAAGTTGATTTGTACAAGATTAATCTGATGAAAGCCGGCCTTCACAGTGCCTGTTGTTGGATCGAGATGAGCCTTTCAGGAACTTGGAAGGAAAAGTTTCGTTTACCTTTTGTTAAACTTGTCAATAGCGTCCGAGGCCACTAGCAATGTGTCACTGGCTTTCTCGAGTACCACGTAGAGCTCGTGTCCAGCACGGGCTCTAGCGGAAACCCATGCATTGTTTTTCGTTCGCAAGCAGAGCTCCTTGTCTGTGTGATCTGATCGATTCTTCTCCTTGTCGAGTTCTCCTCTCACCTTGTTCAAGACTGCCAGAGACTCCTGCGAGAAACATCTCTGTCACGAAAAGGATGAGAAAAAAAAAAAAATCCCACCTTGGCCAACGTAGCGACCTTGTTCGGAGGTGACGCTTTTATAGTTCTTCTACTCAAGTCGTGGTGCATGTAGCGGTATCCAGGAACATGCATTGCATTACTCCCACCCCACTGCTTCGTGAGCTTCTCTTCCAGCGCTTGGATTTTATCGGCCTTGGAACACACCAAGAGGTCAGTGATCAGCCACTAACTTGTAAAAGAAAAACAAAATAGAAACTTACCTGGTCGATGATTTGTTTCCTCAGAAGTGCCACCGATTCGGCACTGGGGATAAACATTAGCAAAGTTAGCGCCCTGTGCTGATAAACACAGAGATATGTCATCTTCTCTCCCTCTTGAAGCCAGACACTAGGAATAACTGCGCCACCGCCGGGACCATCAGCACCCCAAGCAAAACTAGAGAGAAAGCCGTCCACGTCTTGCCACCAAGCGTCATGGTGGAGCGGCTGCGAGACGGTTTGCTCGTGTAAGGAGGACACCGAACGCTTGGGCTCTGTCACAAACGTGGACACGACGCTGTTTAGCACCGAGTGCCGAGTATACGACCTCTTGGACCCTTGAGCGAAAGATTGCGAGACGACTGATGGTATCATGCGCAACACAGCATACGTGTACATTGCCATTGTGTCAGCCTGAGAAAAATAAAAAGCACCCTCTAGAGTCAAATCGGTGAAGAAACTAAAGTTTAGCAGGAAGCGCAAACTTACCGGTAAAAGCGTGCTGGATATGAGATAGTTGTGAAAAAGAACCATCGACTGCTGAGGTACTCCACTCCACGACTCCAAGAGACCCAGCAAGGACTTCAACCAAGATAAGGTAACTGATCAGGAACAGAGATGTCAAGAAAAAACCAAAAGCCTACAGAAATCAAATGACTAAAAAGTTTTTTTTTACCTGGCACTCTAGAAGAATGTCGGGCTCCACCGAGAGAATCCTCACAGTCGCATGCTCAGCGAGCGAATCCGAGATTGTAGGAAGCCACAAAGTCTTCCCCGCCATCATATCTGCATAATAACTCTCAATAAAAAAGAGAGAAAAAGGACCAGCACTCACCTCCAATATAGTCGGGAACGAACACATACAAGCAATTGCGAACAACGTCGGCGACTGGATTATTCTCAAGGCGAGATGAGATCTTCCCGTAGAACAGCCTGAAAATACCATACAACTCCCTGAGTAAGCTTCTATAAGCACCATCTCTGGTTACTTGGTCGCCATCGCCATCTTTCTCGACCACCTTGAAGCACAAAAACAAAGCAAAAAACATAGAAAGACTAGACAAGGAGGCCTTCGTTTTGTCGTTACCAAAATCATCCAGATATCTGGCTCGCATTCGTAGAAAATGTGGCCGTGCCTCTCGGCCTCCATGAACTCGCAAGGACTATCGGGGGAAAATATCCTGGTAGAGGAAGGAGGTCGAATTCTAAGCAGGGCGAGCGCGAGGGAAGAGTGATCGTACCTGGAGAATGTGATGAGGCCCTCGCTGAGGCCGACGAGGGAGAGCTGGGAGGGGAGCGGGCAATCGAGCGGGTAGAAGAAGAGGACCTTGTCGAGCTCATGCCCCTCCTGCTGGCCTCGCCGAGAATCGAAAACGCAGAGCTGCATAGCGCCTCTAAAGCCCTAAAAAAGCCCTATGGCATATTCTTGGTGTTTGTCAACCTCTCCCTTCCGTTTAAAGCAAAAAGGAAGAACAATGTAAAGGGACATTAATCAGTTTTCCATTAAGGATTTTAAATGTAATTAGGTAAGCATTTCATTAGTGGGCACTTATGAATGATTCTGGTGCGGAGTTCAATTCTGGGAGTGCCCCTTGTTTGAAAGGTGTTTAGCACTGACTGATTTGTAGGTCAAATCAGACTTTTCTTTGGTATACAAAGGTACAGAGGAAAGACAAAGCTGGCTTGGGCTGACTTTGTCTCAGTGCTAAAGTAGAAAGCCAGGATGGAAAGCAGTATCCAAAGAAAAGGAACCACTAAGGGGGGAGAAATGGGACCCTTGCCGGTGCGATTACTTTCAAACACGTCTGAGTGGCATGTCTGCACGAGCGCCTGGATCCTGCCTTATAAGTCCGCGGCATGGATCCCCCAAGATTTCTGACGCTGCAAAAAATATCTTCCTGCACCCACACGAACGGGGATTAGAAGAACATCTCATCCCGTTGATCCCGTTGATCTCGTTGATCTTGATCCAGACACAAAACAGGTCTTTGCTTTGTTGCACACACAAGTCAATGGAAAGCTTCACATTCCGATCTTAGGAGAAAGATTCAAACTGGGAAAGAATGCGAGAACTGTGCACCTACCTACTTATCCAAGACAGAAGCCAAAATTGCTGGGAGCGAAGAGAAAAATGAGAAGAACCTGTTGAGTGTTGTGTGTGTGTGTGTGTCTCCCCTTTTCATTGCGCGTTTGTGCTCTGGGACTTGCATTTCTCGACCGGGTACTTGACCGCGTTCTTCTTGAGCTTGCTGAGTGCCGCCTGGCCGAGGTCCACTCCACACACATCGGCCAGCCGGACCAAGTAGAGCAGCACATCCGACAGCTCCTCCCCGAGGTGCTCCTTCTCGGCCGCGTTCCAATCCGGGAGCCCCCGCTGGACTTCGCCTTTCCATTGAAAGATCTCGGACAACTCACCCACCTCGCCAACCTGAAAAAAAAAAGGAGAAGAAAAGACAATGGCTAAAAGTTTGGTACTAATCAAGCGCGCTCCACTCAAGCATCCCAAACACCACAAGGCCAACGTGAGGAGCAAACACAGAGCGGCAAAACTGGCAGGCGACCCAGCCAAAGAGAGAAAGAAGAAGAGAAAGGAGAAAGGAATAAATAAAAGCGATCGCTCCATCCCATCCTCAAAACAAAGAAGAAGCAAATGAGAAAAATATGTTCTCCAAAAAGCGGACAAAACCACCCGAGCTCCAGGCACCCCCATTCACATTAATGAGCGAGGGTCGATTTGCTCTAGAGCTAGAAAACAATGCTCCCCTGGCCAGGGGCCATCGCCAGGGACACGGGCCTCCCAGCCAGCGCAAGCAGCAACAGTGCAGTCACACAGGTCACAAATCAGAGACATTCTCTACAATCAAGGCAGGAACTCTCCCTGATCGATCGGAAGAAGAGAAAGAAAGCATTTAAAAAGCCTCTCGCCATCAGGCAATCGAGAGAAAGAGGAAGGAATATTTTCGAAATATTTCCGAAATATTTCAATCGCTAATCGATCGAGCGCTCTCTCGGGGCAGCGATTCTTACCAGCGCGAGCAGGAGATTGCGGGGGCTGTGGAACTGATCCCAATCGCGGACGCGCGCAAACTCCTGTAACTTGGACCTCAGATCCTGGAGCGAAACGAGCGCCGCATCGGCAGCGCCCGGGGGATCTTTCCTGCCGCCCCCATTCATCGCGCAACTCCACGAATCGGCATCCATGGCGAAATATTTTGCCCGCGCTCTCGCCTAGTTCTAGAGGAAAAACCAAGCGCCAATGCAAAGAAAGAAAGATTAGGGCGTAATACGACCTAGACCATTGCTACAAACGTGTCGACAAGATTCCCCTCCCCAATCATCCGATCCTCCAATCAGGTTTCTTCCCACGCCTTTGAATTTACTTTGACAAGCGTGACTGCGAGTTTACCGCGGTGCGTACGGCAGCTGGGACGATGCTGGTACAACAAACTGGAGAATAATATAATACCCAAACTTATGGTGTAATATAGATCTAAGATATGACAATGATCTCACACAAGGACGAGAATGTATCAATCAATCAATCAATCGCCTTGAAGTTATGCAATGAAGGAGCGTACGGGTATGATAGTAACAAGACTAAGCATTATATAAGCATGATTATCTTAGAGAGATTTCCAAACAAGTGTCCAAGTAACCAAGATTCTCGATCACAGCTTCTTTTGGATATGCCTCTCCTCTAGATCCAAAAATCACCAAATTCCCATTAGCTAGCAGGCAATCGGAGCCTTTTCCCTATGTTCCCGAGCTGGGACTCTGTAGCACGAAATTGCAATCGCTTCGCATTGTCAGCTTATAAGAACTATCAGCCGAGATTAAGCTGTTCCACCCAGCATCTGCGAGCCAAGAGCGTTCTAGAGCCACTGATTAATAATGTACTATAGACCAAACAATCTTTTATATCGCTTTCAAGCCCATGAAGCTCTAGATCATCAAACTTGTGATTATCAAGATTTAGGCGACGAGAAGCTGTAGAGCAAAAGCTGGTTAGGAAGTTCGAGCTGATAATCAATTCCAATATATTCAAGAACAATATCAACACGACAGAACCAACGTTCTTGATCTACTAACTGTCCAGTATATTTTGCCGTAGGTTTTGGCCAAACACTCTTTGGATCGTTGGGCCCATGGTACACACATCCGCGGTCTCGTAAAACACTCTACTAAACACTAGTAACCTGACGTTCACACACGTATTCTGTGCAAGCATCACGATAAGTTCCATCAGCCCGAAATGAAACGTTATTGCGTATATTTATCACGTAGTCATGTATCCTTTCTACCATGGTTCTTACTTGAGCATACCATACAAGAGTCTCATTCTAAAAATCCCACGTGGAGGTGCATAGAGCTGAGAGATTACTGCTAGAAGAAACGGGCTGAATTTTTGGAAAACTAACTGAAGCTTGTTAAGCACATAAAAGGCAAGGACATAAAAGGTAGATTGTTGTTTCCATGCTTTGGAGTTGCAAGGTATTTCTTAAAGCACTCACCCACGGAGTCCCAGCGATTGCAAATCTCCATAATGCGGTCACGTCCTTAGGCAGTGCATATTCGATCCCCACCCTCAGCCAGAATGCATATTCGATCTCACCCTCCGATGACAAGAATGGCATCCGGAGAATGGCATCTCAAGAATCAAATCTAGAGACCACCTGCTCGAGAAGATCTCTTGGAGCAAGCATCACGTAACTTAGCTCATACCTGGAAGGATGACTCGACCACTGAGTAGTCATTCGAAGACTTGTCGGATCTAAAAAGGTCAACCTTTCCCTTTCCCAGATCTCTTTAAACTGGAGAAACTGTAAAGCGAAGCGCCTGATCTGGTATGAAAGTTTTAAAGCCGGTGAAGCTCACAAATTTAAAATGATCTGATAGGAATGAATGAGCACGCAGCCGTAAACAAATAGCACATAGGTATAACAATAATAATACATGTATGCCAATGGAAACCTTTCCTCTTGTCTTCAGTCTTCAATACCCATCAGTACTTGTGGCCACGCGAAAAGCACTTGCGCAGCCTCAAAACCGTGTCTGGGAGGTCGTTACGTCTCCTTGCAGCAGCATTGCAAACCAGTCAAGGAGGCACCTCGACGACGATCTCCACCACTTGCAATTCCAGTCGCCCTTCCAGGTGCGCCAGACCTACTCACCATGAAGCGGCTTAGCACTGTGATCTTTTGCAAGATCAACGCGTAGCAGACAAGCTAGCCACTGGCAGTGACTTGACTTTACCTGAGTCCAATGAGGTATGCCCTCGTTGTCCAAACTATACAAAGCAGAAAAGCAAAGAAGCTTTAGAAGAAGAATTTCACCGGAGCGGAAAACATCGGTAATTAAATTCTAGAGAGGAAAAAAAATGAGGAAAAGCTCGCACCTCGTTTAGCTTTCCCAGCAGCCGTGGCGCAAGACCCACCACGTCACACTCGTAGAATGATTGCTCCCGCTCTTCTCTTGGGCCATGCCAATCCACTTCCCTTTAAGATGCTAGGCAGTGCATGGCGCCATGGCGAAGGTGGAGTGACGGGTGGATTTCGTGTTGAGCCATTTCTCGAAAAACTCGAAAAGAATAGTGCAAAATGTTTCATTTCTCATGGTTTCTGGGTGTGCCTTGAAGATTAACTTACCGTCGTGTTATTTATTCTAACAAAGAAGAAAGCTGAGCAGTTTGGCTCACCTGGTTCACAAGGTGGCGGATGTGAAAGTTATTACTGTGATGATTTAATTATCAATGTCAATACTAATTTCTACAAAACTAAAAACCACTGGCATTTTCTTTTGTAAATGAAAAGAAAATTATGTGTTTCTAAACTTATGCAGATTTGCGGGCAGCCATGTCTAGATACTTTACGATGGTAAAGTATTGTACATATAAATCTGTTAAGGACGGCCATGTATCAATCAATCAATAAAAATTTTAAGCAATATCAGCACAATTCTCTTAGAGAGATTTCCAAACAAGTGTGGCCGTGTCTGTTCTGTAAATGGCCAAGTAACCAAGATTCTCAATCACAAGAGCGTATAACTTCTTTTGGATGGAGATAATTTTGCTTGACCACGCCTCTCCTCTAGATCCAAGAATCACCAATTTTCCATTAGCTAGCAGGATTAAGTAGCAATTGGAGTCTTTTCCCTGTGTTCCCGAGCTCCATGTGATTATTCCCCTGGGACTTTGTAGTACGAGATTGCAATTCTTTTGCATTGTCAACCTATAAGAACTATCAGACGAGATTAAGCTGTTTCCACCCAGCAAATACGAGCCAAGAATGTTTCTAGAGCCACTGACCAGTGATGTAGTATAGACCCAACAGTGTCTTATATCGCTATTATACCCACCAAGCTTTTCATCCTTGTGATCATCAGATGTATTAACCGACGAGAAGTTGAAGAACAAAAGCCG